GATTTGAAATCGCTAATATTTCGATTTTAAACTATCAAAGTAAATAAAATATATTTTTTCCTCACTGCATTCGATGTAAATTGTTTTCTGGTAAAGAAGACACTGAAAATATATAATAGGCTTGGGGGAAAACTTTTCTTAGTGCTACATTTGACGACACAGCAAACTGCCAAATTGAAGGCATCTGCCTGTGGTTGGGTGGGTTGGTGGTTTCAGTTGGTTATGGATGGTCTTGGGTGGTTTTGGATGGTTTCCCCGGAAGATGAGGTAGACTTCGCCCCATGTATTCGTCTCTCCTTGATTTCGGCTTGAAGCCTCCACACACATAAGTTTCACAAAAGGCAAAGGAAAATTGAGACTGGTGGAAAGCAACAGTTTTTTCTGCACTGAAAAAAGTCAAGACAGAATGGGAAAGGGATTTAAAGCTGTTTAACAAGAACCAACACTATTTCTTAGTAAAAGTTTTCTAGGAATTTCAAAAACTCAATGGTGGGGGAAATCACTTTCAAGGGCATTTTTTGTGCGAACTTTGTTTAAAAAGTAAATTAAGTTTAAACTGTTTCCTAAAATTGTAAAATATGAGAGGGGAAAGCGTTAGTTACATAAAGGAAAGAAATTTGTAATTGCAAGTTAGAAAGTAAACAAATAACAATCATTTAATTATTTCTTTATTTCAGTAAAAACAAGAAAGGAAAGCTATCTTCGGGCGGAGCCGAAGTTGATATGCCCTTGCAAAATACTCTGTAAATTATATTCTCCAAAATTATTCATATGATGCATTCTTAATACTCATAAAAAATCCCAATTTCCTAACTTTAAAAACACCAAAGTTATGGCATTTCCAATCGTTCAGTTATATGGCAGCTATATGATACAGACCTACCAAATTTCATAGGGATCGGCCGACTATATCCTATAACCGCCATATAACTGATTGATCGGAAATTCCATAACTTTGGTATTTGTAAAATGCTTTATTTAACTTAACAAACCATAACTGATAACAAGTGATTATCAGTTATGGTTTGTTATGGTTTCTTTTTCGCTTTTATAAAAACCGCGCCATGTGCGTATAGATTTCTTAACATGATTATAATTTGACATACAAATAAACCAGATATTGGCCAAACAAAATTTTTTCAGCCCGAATATTCTATAAATTTATTCTCTAATTTTTTATGAAAGCGAAAAGAAACCATATGGTTAATTTTTATGTCAAACTTCAATCAAATTGGCCTGATAACAAGTGATTTCAGTAAAATAAAATAAATCAAGAAATGAAAGCTAACTTCGGGCGGAGCCGAAGTTGAAATACCCTTGCAGAATATTCTGCAAATTATATTCTCCAAAATTATTCATATGATGCATTCTTAATACTCATAAAAAATCCCACCTTCCTAACTTTAAAAACACCAAAGTAATGGCATTTTCAATCGTTCAGTTATATGGCAGCTACAGGATATAGTCGGCCGATCCATATGAAATTTGGTAGGTCGGATTGATTGGAAATAAAAACCATAGAAAATCCCAACTTCCTAACTTTAAGAACACGAAAGTTATTTCCGATCGTTCAGTTATATGGCAGCTATAGGATATAGTCGGCCGATCCCGGCCGTTCCGACTTATATACTGCGTGCAAAAGAACGAATAGTGTGTGCAAAGTTTCAATTCGATATATTTAAAACTGAGAGACTAGTTTGCGTAGAAACAGACAGAAGGACAGACGGACATGGCTATATCAACTCAGGAGGTGATCCTGATCAAGAATATATGTATATACTTTATAGGTCGGAGATGTCTCCTTCACTGCGTTGCACACTTTTGACCAAAATTATAATACCCTCTGCAAGGGTATAAAAATTGGAAAACGTCAACTTTTAGGTTTTCAAAAATTTTCAAAGATTTCATATTTTTAAAACTAAAGGTGGGCAAAAAAAAGGGGGCAAAGATGGGTCAATGATTAAGCTATTCAAATTTAAAAAATTCGATTTTAGTCGACCGAACTTCTTTGAGCTCATTGTTTTGTAATTACTGCAAGGGTATATAAAATTCGGCTTGCAGAAGTTTGATTCCTTTCTTGTTTTAAAGTGCAATCAGCTTGAATAATAACTTCTCAACAAAAAGCCAAGTTTGCACATTCACAAAATCAAATTGACATTTTCTTATGCCCCAAAAGAAAGGAAATCAGCTGGAAGAACATTATTATAATGTTGAACATTACATTATACGTCCTTTAATAAACTATTTTTGCTTCATTGATTTTCCTTGGGATTCCCTTAAAGTGCAGATATATTCCCACATCCCTTTACTTACATATATATATAAAAGATTCAACAGGCCCACATTTTCCCGGACACTTTTCATTCCCTTTCTTTTTATTTGGCTTAAATAAATACATTCAAGTAAATATAGCGGTGGGTGAGTGTGCCCCGTTCTTTATGGTAAAAAGTTCAGGACGTCAAGGAAAAGTCGAGTCGAGTCGAGTCGGGTAAATATATGTGTTTGTTCAGACACACTCGTACACACAAGTACGTATGTACATAATTTAGTGAACTTGAAACTTGCCTCCTGGTCGTCGTGTGGCATACATATTTGTATATCAGATGTTCAGGAGATGTCCTAAATGTCGCCTCCACCAATAAAGGCAGACAGTAGAAAAAATAAAGGAGAAGCGCAAGGAAATTTTATGCTAAGTAATTTATATCGGCCCCCACAGTGGTTGCCAAAAATGTAAAGGCCATGGCTTTCATGTTCCATTCAACTTTAGATAATTAATATGAATGGCTTCTTCTCTGCAATGAATAAAATTAAGTCCAACCAATTAGGTCACCAACTATTATTCATGAGACATGCAAATATGAGAAATGTATTTATAAAATGTTGTGTACTTTATGCATTTTTAAATAGTATTTGCAGACAACAAAATTTTAGGGTTATTGGAGCATTAAAACATTTTAAAATATTTAAAATAAAAACACTTCTCATTTACCCATTTATTAAAAAACATTTCCTGAAAATGTAAGTTACTTATAGCTCGAAATTTTTAAATATTTAAGTTATCTATAAAAATTGATAAGCACTACTCAAAATTCTTTAAGCGAAATACTTTTTAAAATATTTTGCATTTGTTATGATCCACTGTATGTGAGCGAAACACATATAAAAAGAAGTGCATTATATGTGTGTGACAACAGTAACGGCAAGAAAAGCTGTATCTGCTTATTAATGATTTAAAAAATATTCCATGCAATGCAGGGAAAAGCAGGAAATTGATATGCACTTACCGGCAACACGGAAGTAAGATGAAAAAGTACAAATAAAGTAAAACGAGAAGGAGGGAGAGAGGAAAACCAAGGAAATTCAAAAAGGGAACGGAGCGAGGCACCCGTGAAGTATGCTAGTATAATAAGATATTTTGCTGGTTAACACTGCCTGCAGAAAAATGTTTCCCAACTAAACTCGGTTATTAAAAATTAAAATCGTTCCAACTGTCCCTATGAAGCTTCGCTGAAATCCCAAAAAAAAATGTATCTACCATAAAAAAATGTAAGTGCCACAATTATTTAATATTAAGGAAACTTAAAAATTTGTAAGTGTTTGTTTTTTTTTTTAATAAAGTCGTTGAACTTATATTTTCCAACCTCCGGATCAAAAGTCTACAAAAACGGCACTGAAAAAATCGTTTTTCTATACTTTTTCTTGGTTTCCAATTTGGCAAACAATAAATATAATGTATATATAAAACTAGAAATTCTCAGTGTAAAAGAATATGAGAAAACGACATGGAGAGACAGAAAATATGAAAAAGATAATAGGGTACTTCGTTTTTTCACTTTTTTTAGTCACCTGTGTGGCAAATCGAAAGATAATAACGAAGACGGAACAGAATACGCGATAACAGGTAAGTGAAGTGGCCAAAAAGAAGCGCAGGAGAAATGCCAAGTTACCAAAGGAAATCAATTTCCCCCACTTCGCATCAATCACACATGGACTCTGATTGAAAGCAAATCGAAAGTAAACAATGGAAGTAATTAGGAAGGGAAATCGTAATCCATACTCTTGTTTGGTTCTTCTTCGAGCAATTATTAATATTTGTCGTGTTATGCAGTGTCAAATCAATCAATTTCAAAGACAACAAAATGAATATTCAAAGGGAATTCAATTTCGCTAAAATTATTTTAATCACTGTCGATCCTTCTCAATTTCATTTTAGTACATTAAAAAAAGTCGTATCGGAATTGCTCAGACACACTTAACATTTTTATATATATTTGATGATATACTTCTTAATATTTCCCTTTATTCTCTGTTATTTTAAATTCTTAACTTTATGAACCTTATCGTTTAATGTTCAATACAAAATGTATTTATTTAAATTAGTTTATTTTATATTTACAAATCCTAGTCTAATTCGTATTTAATATTGGTAGGTAATATTTGAAATTAAATTAAATTAAAATTGTTTATCCATAACAATTGGTTGGCGAGCCCAAAACAAAACAAAAGTGTATGTGGGCAACTGAGTGGGTGAATTTGGCACCTACCGAGAAATTCAATTTACAATTCACCGCAGTTCCACCAAAATTTTGGACAACATGCATGCTTCAAATTACGAAAGCAATTTCATTTTACGACACTTATCAAACGCTTCACGCAACATAAAGCAGCCGGACATTAAAAAGTACTCGGTTAGAGGACCAACAAAATCGCATGCGAAATTTACAGTCTGAAATCCCATTCGCCTGGAATAGCAAAAAATCCTTGCAACTGGCAAAAATCAGATGGTTGCATGGGCGGGAGTTTTGAATTTATAATCATTTATAATTCAAAAAGTTTTAAACAAAAAATTTTTTGTTTCAATATTTTTGTGAAAATGAGCAAATAGGTATTTTAAAAATTTTTTAATCCAGAGAAAAGAAAATATTATATCTAATACCTATTTATTTATTTGTATGTTTCCCAAAATAAAATTTGATTGAATAAAAGTAAAGTAGCATGTCTCGATTTTGTATTGTATATTTGTTCCTCTGACTAAGTTTTAATAATACATAAGTTACCATTCTGAAGATTCTTCACAAAGTATATTTTTGAAATATGTTTAAGTGGTATGCATTTAAATGAAAAGGTTACATTATTACATTTTCGATTTGTTATTTATATTAACAAAAAAGCTGCCATATTTAATTGGTAATTTTATTAACGTCCTGCTGTAGTAATTTTGCTGAGCAGTGGGCCAGCCGACCGTTTTAAGACTATTTTAAAGTTCTCACTAACAGTGTAGTCCTCTTTAAATACCACAACCAGATTCAGTTCGAATTCTGAAAGATAAATAAGGATTTTATGAGAAAAAATAGGCATTTTAATAGAGAATTATATATTTATAATTGGAATTTATAAATTGAAAAACAATCCGTTTGCAATCACTGTTAAACCTAAAATCCCACAAAGCACATTCCAGCGGAAAGGATAGTATCTTAGAAGCCATACAAATCTGAAATCCACTAAAAACTAAATACAGTAAAACAGTGCCGTAATGAGTGTTAGCCTCCTAACTTCCTACTACACCTCTAGTCAACCTCTAGTTGCTTCCCGCCAAGAATCTAAAGTTACACCAAAAAACCATTGACAAAATATCGCATAGAAACGTGCAATTAAAAAAGCAAATTTTAGAAGTTGGTCTAAATGGGAACTTGTCCTCATGGACCATTTTCAAATTTATGGTATGGCTATGAAAATTAAGTTTTAAAGAATAAGAAACGGCTTTGAGCTGGTAATATATGGTAATATATAAAGTATAAATCGGATAATATTTAAAACCTTTTCGGATCTTTTGCGATCTTTGATTCAACATGAGTTTTTTTTTGCATAAAATCATAACTGAATCAAATCTAATTATGCTGTTATAAAAAAAAATTGTGTTTATATTAAGATTGCTTAAATGTTTAATTTATGATTTCGATGTCTAATAATTAATAACAATATAAAAACGTTTAAAATGCTTTTTTAAAAATACCAATCAATATCAATATACATCTAATATATAAAATATAAAATCCTTACCGATTTTGAAGTTCTTGGTGAGGAGCGTAGGGCAGGTGAACAATCTTGGCAGGACCATATAGATGGGGAGCTCTAATTTCGGCAGCACATTGCCATCTGCTATTTGTATCGTTTGGATTTCGGTAGCATCCTTGGAATAACCCTCATCGCAACCGCAGGTTTCCACCCGAACCAATTGCATTTCAATGGACTTAATAGCAGCCTCCGTGTGTTGAACAGTAATGCTGCCCGTGATCGGGGTAGTTACACAGGATTCACTTCGATCCAGACGTCCTGTGATCAGGAATCGCGGCATAGACAGTCTCTCCTTGGCGCTGGCATTCTTTTGAAGCGAGTCTGGACTCAAGCTGAAGGGCACAACCTTTAGGGAATCCTCGCCCAATGCTACTGGTTTATACTGCACGCAGAATTGTTGGATTTTTGTCATGGATTTGCCCAAGAAATTTCGCTTCACAGTGCAATTGAGCTGGTAATTAACGTTGATAAAAACACCATGGTATGTTTCATAAAGTATTCGCGGTTCCTTTTTGCACACCAAAGGCAATTCGAAGTGGAACTCCGAGCGACCGGCGCTCAGTTTTCCAGGGGCAGATAGCTCCAGGCTATTCTGCAACAAATTAATGGGCTTCACGGAGTTATAAAAAGCATCGAATAAGCCCACAGTTTTGGCACTTAATTGCAGATTAACGATTCCTTCAAGATACAACATAATTCCTTCATGTTTCGTTTCTTGCGAGCACTGGAACTGAACGCAGCCCAACAGCATGTCCTGTGGAAGTTAAATTTCAATTAATTAGCACTCTAACTATCTGGATCAACTTACATTTTCATGGTAAACCTTATTCTCTCTCTTTAATTTAATATCAAAGAGTAAGGAACCCATTTTAATCAGCAAATAAAAACAAATAAAACAGCTGATTTACCCCAAGTTGATCTGGCAACCCTAACGTCAGCTGTCTAGCAAGTTTGCAGCCCCTTTTAACATAAAACCAAAACAAACTCATTTTTATATAAGTTCCATTTGATATTTAATATTTTTATTTAAACACAAATGCCTCGAAATCTAAATGCAGAGAGGGACAATCCCTGCCTCAAGGTTTGTTTATTTGCAGTGGATCACAGCTGAATATGTACGGTGCATATTTTTAAAATCAACACTCCAAAGCGCTGAAAAAAAGAATAAAATTGATAATAAGATAACTTCTCAATTTCTTTTTTAATAGTCTTAAAAATATAAATAATTCGGGATTTCAAAATATGTATTGTTCCATTCTGGCTGATTTAGTTTTTCCTAACACTTACCACCGATTAATTTTTTCAGTTTCAAAATATATCTAGTTATTATCAAGTTTTTTTTCTTTTTTAACTTGTTCATTCCAATACTACTTTTAGTTTCACCGCTAAAGAAAGTTGAAGTTAAAAAATTTAACAATACAATTTTAACACAAAATATCTTTCGAAAAACAGGAGCAGGAATTATCGTTCAAATGCCTCAACAAAAACAATTTTGACCACGAGAAGTGCGAAGTTTATTTTGCCAATTATAACAACTGTAAAGAGTTTTGGGTAAAAACCAAAAAGGATTAAAAATTTGAATCAGGTTGTTAACCAAAATATTATATTTTTATAGAACAAAGTTAAAAGTGAGCGGAGAGCCAAGGGACAAGCTCCATATTTACCGCCCTTGGAGGAACGCGAAGCGATTAAAGCTGAATATATGAAAGGAAAACCACAGCAGAGCTGATAAAATTAGCTATTTAAGCACCTTTTTAACAAATAAATTAAGTGTACATCAACTGCCAGAACTTGTATAAAGAAAACACATCTACCTACAGTCGATATACTGAATTTCTAAAACAGAAAATTCTTATTTCATTAAACCATTTTCAATTACTTTTTTATATTGTACTTAGAATTCTTACTTGACTTAAAACACATTAGGAAACCGTGAAGACGAAGATGGCACAAACACAACAAGTTGTTATTTGAATTGTTATAACATTTTTCATATAATTTAATTTAAAAAAGTCTAAATTAACAAATTTAGCCGTGAATAACATCGGCGCCTACAACTTTTAGCGCGGGCATGGATTCCTCCAACATGGCCGTGGCCAATTCAAACTCCAGAGTCTCCTTGGGATCATCCAGAATGAGCAATTTAAGCTTCGGCAGGCGATAGAGGCTGGCCAGTCCATTGGTGGTGATTTGGGTGCCTGAGAGATCTAGCACCTCCAGATGCGGAAAACCACCACCCGAAACCCTGTCCAGACACCAGTCGTCAAAGGTTTTTATGTTGTGAAAGGACAGGAACTTAAGGGAGTCCAGGCAGCGTAAGTTCTCCAATCCCTCGTAATAGAGGGTCATGTTGTCACACCGCAAGGCCTCCACTTTGTAACCAGGATCAAACTTATTGGGCAGGTTGAGGTCCCCTTCATCCTCGGTGGCCCGATGCCATCGGGAATCGTTGAGGAACTTAACGGCGCCACCGCGATACATGATGAAATGTGCAGCAGCCAATTCGGCGCCCAGAATCTTGTGTCTATCCGGGATGAACTGCTGCATATGCCGCTCGATCTGCTCCTGTCGGTTGTCCCACCACAGCCGCATTTTTCTGGGGCTCAAGTCGATGGGTCTCTGCATCATGACTATGAAATCGGAGGTCTGTTCCGAGTCGGAAAACAGTTTCAGCTTGCTGCTCCAATCTTCCGGCCGGTCGCCTATCGGGGTCCTCCAATTTAGTTTCTGCTTATCGGCGGCCAATTCCGCGCGAATCCTCTTCACGGTGGCACTGACCTCCACTTCCTCTCCCGGCTGAGCCTGATTTGTGGGCAGGGAGGACGCCGTCCGACTGCCACATCGCCCTAAGGAGGAAAATCCACGCGACAGGCGCTGCAACATGCTTAAAGTATGATTTTTGTAAATAAATGTTTGAGGGGAGTCGGACTAGAGATGCGCACGTTACATGACTCACGATGTACAATTTATTTATTTGTGGAAGAGAATAATTTATTAAATTCAGTTCTCTTATTTTTGAAATTAACTTAATTGAGGGGATATTCAAGATGAGATAATTTATTTATTTATATATCAATATAAAATAAAATTATGTGGTGTTAGAATCAGTTTTGCTTTCTTAAGAAATTACATTTTTAAATACCAATTTTTATATAAAATTTTGTTAGAGACTTTATTTTATAAATACCGATATTATAGTACCAGATCAGGTCAATTGGTATTTAATATTAACCTTTAAAATTTCAAAAATTATAAAAAGTAGTATTCAATTGCTAATGAAAAACTTATTTCTTCTAGCTTAATACTCCGAAATACAATTTTTAAATGTATCACCTTATGTTTTATCAGTCAGATCTAATAAGCAATATATATATTTATTTTAAAAATAATTCAAAACTCGTGCGTGAGTGCGCTGGGGAATCGCAGCAGCTGACGGATCAGCTGCTAGCACTCTCTTTCGTGCCGAGTTGGCAGCCCCAAGCCAATGTGACGCCATTTTGTTTTTGCGTGCTGTCAAACGCTGAATTTCACATTTCCACCACATAAAAACGCAGACGACTTTTATTCAAGTGCGTGAGATACCACCGAAAAACGTTGCTAAATCACTTAAATGCTGATTAACCGCCAACCAAACGATTGAACACAACGGCAGCAAGGCAAACGCCGCAAAAACCTGCCGAAAATTACGTGAATCAGCATCGCAAGGGCAACCCGTGCAATTGGCAAAATTTTAATCTGCGAAGACCGCGCTGCAATATGGTCAATTCGTCTGGCAGCGAAGATGGCCAGTTGAGGAGCCCCAACGACGGACATTATCACAGGTGTGTATTATCCAGGGGATCCTGGGAAAACTACGAAATTCGATTTTTAATATGCGAATCATGGAAAATTGTTGCTGCATACACACAAAGAGGGTACATATACACACGAGTGCAGGCAACGCGACGTAAATCCCGCTGAAAAAATATAGCGATATTTTAACTGTATCCCGCTGTTGCTGTATTTCATCCACAAACACAGTTGCGAACGTTTTAAAAGTGATCATATTTTAAAAGCTAATGCCAAGTTTAGTTATTCGAAAAACATTTAATTTAAATATTTATTTACTTTAAACTAACTTAAAGATTTGCGTTTTTAAATTTCGATACAATAGAATTTTAAAAGTATGCATATTTTATTTCGTTTGTTTACTTGGAGAAAGAAAGTTAGCCCCTTTTGCATATTTAGCTTTTCAATCGAATGGCAAATGCAACTATTATTTTCAACGCACTTGAACCGATAACTGTTGCATGTGTGTGTATGCAGCGGGTATACAATTTTCCCCCAACCATCTTGATCTGTTGACTATAACGAATTGTACATGCTAATTCAATAATCTTGAAACGAAATTTGCGTTTGTAAAAACGAACATTCGCCCCAAATATATTATCATCCCAACATCCCTTTCGCGCTTGTTTGTTCTCCTTGACAATATTAAGAAAAATACCAAACCAAAGAAAACAAAACCAATTTATGACGATTAAAAAATTTATTGAATTTATTGAATCCTTTAATTGACTTGAATTTTTTCGTTGCAAATAGGCCAAAAAGTGTGTACTTGTCCCATGACCGAGGCGCGCGATGGCCAACAACAATACCTAATAATTATCATAATAAAAAACCAACAAAGCTATTATAAAAACCAAAACCAAAATGAAAACGAAAGAAAAAGTGCAAGCAGTTATGCAAAATTCGAGTTTAAAACTGTGCACCTGCAGTGTCAACGGCAGACAGGACCGAATCTTCTCAAGCCAACCACGCTAATCTCGCTTGACCCGCTGGCTCATTAAATGTGTTCCGAGAATCAAATACCAAACACCAGAGAATCGAGATCCGATAAGCTCCGAACCGATCGATCGATCCGAGCTCTCTCATGTGCTGCTGGCGGTAAATTGTAATAATCTGTAACTCAATTGAATGAAACACACAATATTTGTATACTATCTTTGCTAATGCCTCTTTCCAAGTCCTGTCTCAATGTCTTTCGTGTCTCTCTGTCTCTCAAAAGATAACTCCCATTCCCAGCAGGTTGCGCAGTCAGTCGTGTAAGTGTTTGCATTTTACAGCCCTTGGGAGTCTCGCAGCTCCGAGCTCCATGGAATAGTCACGGGATCCGGGATCAGGTAAGTACCCCATTTGATTGCATTCAATGGTGGGGCGATTTTTATTTCTGGGCGCAACAAGTAATTTCTATGCATTAAAGTTTTTTAATTTGGACGCTATAGGGCTTTGGTTAATTTTAAAATTAATACAATTAAAAGTATATCTTTAAATTTTCTAATACATATATTTATATTTAACGATATCTATATATATGTTTTTTACAGGCATTACTCAACTAACCTGCTATTTATGTTGATATTGTTTGAGAGGAGTGAAGCTGTTTAATAACTATCATATTATTAAAAGCCTCTTTACATATTGTATAAAAAACTTTCTGGAAATGATGCATAGTTTTTTATACGCCATGGCTTCCTTTTCAAACATTATAATAGCTACTTCTACTTAACTTTAATGTCCAGATCCAAATTTCTTAGAGTGGCCCGTAGATTACTTGTTGCTTCCATGATTTTGGAATTGTCGTGTCCCACCTAGTTGCATTCGTTGCTGTTCGGTTATGGAATAATACCTCCACTTATCTGAGCGACTCCGAACCGATTGCCTCAAATAAACACTAAATAATCCGCTTATGTACTGCACCAAAGATTTTGTATCTAATCTCGAAAGAATTCCAGAGCTAGCATGGACTCGAGTTCTTAAGGCATCTAAGGGCAAGTGTAAAATGTAAATCGCAACACCGACTGCAGCAACGTGCAACCTGCTACAAGCAACATGCAACGTGGTCAGAGCAACGCCTGGTCAACTGGGTCGAGGGTCAACTGGGTCATCGTCAGGCATCGGTCCAGAAGCATCAGCAGATGGGACACCACTTAAAGCATGACACCATAATTTTTGACTTTCTCTCTTACTTTTAGCCGTGGCGAGGATGAGGAGCACGAAGCGGACGCCGATTCTCTGTACATACAACCACCGCAAGCGAGCCGTGAAATGAGCTCCGGGTCCAGGCGTGACAAGAAGAAACATTCCCGCGAACGTCGGCGCCACAAGGATCGGGAAGATGTGGGCGGCGGCGGAGGTCTAGGACCGGATCGTGACCATCGCTACGAATATCGGAATAGGGAGGAACACTACCACCACCACCATCGCGAAAGAGGCGGCAATGTAGCCGCCGCATATCCGAAACACCACCTGGGCCACGCGTACCACTACCCACAGCCGCCACAACAGCTGCAACAGCCCTTGCCGCCGGCTCCCAGCTATGCTGCCCACCACCACCATCATCATCAGCATTTAAGCGGAGCCCGAGCCGCCCCCCGTGGCGATTACCATTCCTATCCGTCGGGCTATCACTCGAGCAGTCGCCACGGCGACTATCCCATGGAGGAGCCACCGCGACGGGGCAGTAAATACGCGGACAGCAAGGATGCGGAGAGTCTGGAGCAAGATCTGCGTTCCAGGCTGCTTAAGAAGCGGCATAACTACGTTAAGGATTACGAAACGGAGGAGAACTACGAGCATCGCGTAGAGAGGAGTGAGCGGAGGGAGGCTGGACGCAAGGAACGTGAGCGAACTGGACGGAGCAGCCACAAGCAAAACCGTCACGAACGCGTCATCGAACTGCTGGACAGTCCCGACCCTGAGCACCAGCATCAGCACCAGCACAAGTCGCATCGGAGCAAGTGGCGCGAGGAGGTCGAGGTCAACAGAAGAAAGGAGTCCGAGGACATGGAGTTGCTGGCCCGCAGGGAGAAACTGCTCGCTGCTGAGCGCGATAGCCGCCAGCGGAAGCAGACAGCTCGTGAGGAACTGGAAGCTCGCCGGGAGTTGCTCCGAGAGCGTAACGAGCACAGTGACGCACTAAGTCCGACGGCAGTGGCAGCAAGTGTAACCGCTGGCTTAAATATTCAAGTCAAAAGGAAATCCAAACCGGACAACTACGAGAAACAGATCAAGCACAAGAAACGGCGAGAGGAGGAGGTGGAGATCATCCGGGATGAAGGGGAGGACGAGGAAAGCGAAGAGAGCGACTCTAATGAGGAGGATCCCGATGAAGACAGCGCAGAGAGCGGCACAGAATCAGGCAGTGATGAAAGCTATGCTAGTAAAAAGAAGAGCAAGATAAAATCCAAGCCTCTGCTTGAGGATGACGACGAGGATCTGCCCTTGCCCGACAGTCCACTCAGCGTGGGAGAGCTCTACAAGTCACCCAAGCAGCGTCAGCGGTCCCGATCTTTAAGCTCAAAGAGCAGCTCACAGTCCAGTCACAGCAGTCGCTCAAGATCTCGTTCCAGGAGTCGGAGCAGCCTGGAGGATGAGGAGGATCGGCGAGACGCAGGAACAGCTGCATCACCCAGTAGCAGTACTCGTAGCGAAGAGCGCGGGATGTCCCAGCAGCACCAGGAAGAGAAACCTGAGGATAAACTCAAGGACAAGGCTCAGAAATCGCTAGAGGAGCAGACTCCGTGCGACGACAAGGGTGTGCCTCTGCCCAACTATTATCCCGGTGTTCAGGGCTGCCGCTCTGTAGAAGAATTCCAGTGTCTCAATCGTATCGAAGAAGGAACTTATGGCGTGGTATATCGAGCTAAGGATAAAAGAACCAACGAAATCGTGGCCCTCAAGCGACTTAAAATGGAGAAGGAAAAGGAGGGTTTTCCCATCACATCACTTAGGGAAATCAACACCCTTCTTAAGGGTCAACATCCGAATATCGTAACCGTTCGCGAGATCGTTGTCGGCTCCAACATGGACAAGATCTTCATTGTGATGGACTATGTGGAGCATGACCTAAAGTCTCTGATGGAGACGATGAAAAACCGCAAGCAGAGCTTTTTCCCTGGAGAAGTCAAGTGCCTGACGCAGCAGCTCCTGGCGGCGGTGGCCCATCTCCATGACAATTGGATATTGCATCGCGACCTAAAGACCTCCAACCTGTTGCTCTCCCACAAGGGCATCCTCAAAGTGGGCGACTTTGGATTGGCTAGAGAGTATGGCTCGCCGATTAAGAAATACACCTCGCTGGTGGTCACCCTGTGGTACCGTGCCCCCGAGCTGCTCCTCTGTTCGCCCGTTTACTCCACCCCCATCGACGTTTGGTCGGTGGGCTGCATTTTCGCCGAATTCCTGCAGATGTTGCCGCTCTTTCCGGGAAAATCGGAAATCGATGAGCTTAACAGGATCTTTAAGGTAGAATTAATAACACTTTATCTTATAAAATCATAACGATCCTTACATTTTTTTTGTAACTTTTTTATAATTACGACTATATCTTTCAGATCGCTTTTGAGGCTGAATTTTAAGATTTATTTTCCTATGGCACTGATTTTGACCCTTGGTTTCTTATTCTTTCAGGAATTGGGCACCCCCAATGAGAAGATCTGGCCCGGCTACACTGAGCTGCCCGCCGTGAAGAACATGCTGTCACAGAACTCGCAGTTCACAGAGTATCCTGTCTCGCAGTTGCGCAAGCACTTCCAGGAGAAGACTTCCGACATGGGGCTTTCGCTGCTGCAGGGCCTGCTGACGTACGATCCAAAACAAAGACTGACCGCCGATGCGGCCCTGAAGCATGGCTACTTCAAGGAGATGCCACTGCCCATCGATCCCTCCATGTTTCCCACCTGGCCGGCCAAGAGCGAGTTGGGAGCTCGCAAGGCGCAGGCCTCGTCACCCAAACCGCCGTCCGGTGGCTCACAGTTTAAGCAGCTGGGCCGCGACGAACCCATCGCAGCCGTGGGTCCGGGAAACAAGCTCTCGTCTGGAATTATCACCGGGAACAAGAAGAGCCACGGAGCTGGTGGCTCGTCGGCCAGCACCGGATTCGTCCTCAACTCTGGGCTCACGCAACGCCAGCTGGCCATGGGACCGGGATTCAGTCTAAAGTTCTGATTGGAAGTTGGATTCTGTGTGTTTTTAGCCAATTACGATTACGGTATGATTAATTGTTATGTATAGTTAGCGATGTAAGTGAAAAATTTCGTTTAATTGTATGTGTAAAAATATTGTTCCATATATAATTTAAAAAGCCATACAAAACAATTTGGATCAATCAGCATTTTTCATTTAAATAACGGCGATCCCTCTAATTAAGGTAGGCCAATTTAAGAGATGTGGGAGAACTGTAATCGTTGGACAATACTTCCTCTTCCTTCTATTTATTTATCTACATATAATTTGATTCCCAAAAGAGCTTTAATTTTTATCAGTTTCAAAGGAGTGTTTAGTATGTTTTTCTGGGTTCACAGATATTCTAAAATATTTTTGGATCTCTTTCAAGAACACGTCAGAGTAAGAATAATATAAATCAAACACTGCGGTAATATACAAGCTCTCGAGACACAAAATTAATTTAGCTTTATAAAACAAAAACTAGTTTATTTTGGCAAATTCCTCAAAATACACTCGATAGTTTCAGGTGCAAATAGTATATTTGTTCAGCGATTTACATTCCGCCCCTACAGTTCTTAGCAACCAAAAATCGGCCCATCCTACGTACACACCCAATGCATCCACACCTGTAACTTTAAAACTTAGCCTAGGGTAAATACTCTCGCGCTATCTCCGGAATGCTTAAGTGGACCAGAGGTAGAAGTAAGTGCTTTGCCACGTGGGAATGTAGTCTTTCAGGGGTCCGGCCACCACCTTTGCAATAGGAATACTGGTAGCCACAAAGTCCAGGACACGCTCCAGTCTCGATTTGGTGAAGCTGTCGTAGAACGGCGATCGGGCCAGGAAGTACAGAATGTTGATGCACCGCCTGCTCAGCTCCATTTTCTGTTGCTTGGACATGAGGTCTCGGTGCTGGCGGTACAGGTGTATGCTGTACAGATCGATGGACAGAGCTACCATATACTGCTTCCAGCTCCGCTGACCGAACAATCCCATGGCGGCCAGGTGGATCAGTGGCTTCGATATATACAGGTACTCCGCTTGAAGCAGTTTTTTGGGGATCTGCGTCTTCACTGCCTCATTGTTGTCCACATGGAGCTTGAAATCGCGATACTGCAGAGGAGGAGCACCCTCCACCTTGCGGATCACTCGACCGGATCGCTTTAGTTGGAAGGTAATGGAGTGCTGGGACTGCAGCACATCGTTGGAGGAGGGCACCTCATCCGCCGCAGACTTCCTTTGCTTGCCCAGTGCCCTTCGGTTCAATGAGGCGATGGGCGGCGATGTGATTATATCCGAGGTAGAGTGTTTCAAGATAAAGAAACGCCCCGCCGCCTTAAAGGCCTGTATTAGCGCTATCACCAGCCACTTGCCGGATTGACCGAACAGCCGGCGAGCCGATATCTCGATGAAAACCTCGCTATATTCGAGTGTCGTCAGCGTGACCTTTAGACGGTAGCAAAGTTTCGATTGCAGCTGGATCACCGAATTCTCCTGAGCATTACGTGCCCGTTCGATGATCCGATCGTTGTAGAACACCAGCATATTGGACATTGTATAAACCAGCTCACTGACCACATTCGAAGAGGATATGCGACCTGGAATACGGCCAAAAGTCAAATCTATAGGTTCTATGTAAACAAAAAGTTAACTTTACCTGCTATAAAGTAGGAGACCCACTTGGCCGTGGTCTCGAAATCGCCCACCACATCCGGGTTTTTGGCAACCCACGCCTCATACGCCTTCAGCATGCCCTTCAGAGTATCCATTATATCCGGTAAAATCGCCAGTTCCTCGAAAAACCAAAATAAAATGAGGAATTGCGGCCTGCAGGTAAATCAAATCGGTGCAGCTGTGGTGTTATGGTTTTCTTGAGAGGCGTTAGAGCTTCCTTGTGAATATTGAGAAGGTGTCGCAAGTTATTTTTTTATTAAAGTTCTGCAAAGATAGAAAAATACAAAAGAATTATACTTCTTTATTAAATACATATGTCAATATATTTACAAAATCAAGATAATTAAATTAAGAAGGCATCAAAAAGAAACCTAATTAACGGTTTTGTTTTTATGGCTAAGTATAAAGTTATTTTTGTATATAACAAAAAAAATATTATTTGCTCATTTAGTCATAGTACAAGAAGAGATATTTTTTAATGTAACGCTGTTAACAGCACCCTTTGCACCTGTCGATGACACGTGTTTTTTAAAGAGTAAAATAAAAAGTTTCCATTTTGCTTGCTTTTGTACTGACTTACCTTTTGTCGCTCTTTTCTTTTGTTTGTTTTAAACTATCAAGCTGTGACGTCACAAATCATCACACTTCGGCATCGTGGAATCTCTAACGCATTAACGATAGCAGTACGGACCCAAGACTTTGGCCACACTTTTGTTTGTCCCGTACATTGCAATCAAACTGAAAATAGCGACTAAAATCGCGGTCGCTCTGTTTTCGTGTGGATTAGCTTGGCAAGATTGAATTAAGAGTCGATATACAAATGTCCAGCAAAAACACGGACACCGGAGACACTACCATCATGGCCACGGCGACCTCCTTGCAGCAGGATTTCGAGGCCGGCGGAGAAGAACAACTGCCCCGAGAATCGCTGGTAATATGTAACCCCCTCGACTTTGTCTAATCTATAATCCGACTATTTCGCCGCAGATAACCACTGCAGTCAGCTTTCTACAGAACACGAAAGTACGCCACACGACGCTTATCCAGAAGCAGCAGTTCCTGCGGTCCAAAGGTCTCACGGCCCACGAAATCCAGTTGGCCTGCGAACGGGCCGGCGTCTTTACCCAAGACCCCAACAGTCCGTATCCCAGTCCAAATACCGTAATCAGCATCGGATCCCAATTGCAGGCACTGCAGCCGCAGCCGACTGTCTTTGGTCGGATCCGCGAGATCATCCATTCGACGGCCCTCCTTAGCGGAGTGGTCTATGCGGTCTATCTCTTTTGGAAGGTGAGTGATCCAGATATCCCTTCTTTTAGTTCGAATTTAGAATTATAGCAATGGACTTGAAACTATAAATTATTAGTAAAGTTGTACTTTCAGGGGAACAGTTTTAAAAATATTTATATAAACATTTCTATCCAATTTTTAAATTTTTGGTCGAACATTTCTTTAATAAAAGAAAGTACACAGATAAATCAAATTTTGTTTTTTTCAGTCCAATATTCAAACATCAACACAACTAGTATTTGCTCTATAAACCTTAGTGAGAGTCCAAAGATCAATTTCTCAAGCTAATGCTCGTAAATCTTTAAATGTCGCAAGGGGAATTATTTAAAATATTAATTAATTATATGAGCTCATAAAAATAAAATTGAATTTGACCTATTATTTAGCGGTTAGTTTGCTAAAAATGTTGTGCAATTAATAAAAATTAAATCTCTAAAGCATTTATTTTTGACTTCATCAATAAATACAAATAATTTTGTTCTTTTTGCAGAAATACATTGCTCCCTACATTTTTGGCAAGCCCAAGAAGAAGCCGGTCGACGAAGTACTGGATGACATTGACAAGAAGGTGGAGACGCGCACCAACGACCTCAACAAGGAGCTCTCAGCGGTCAGGGATCTGATCACCAGCCAGCAGAGGGAACATTCCCAGCAGCTAAATCGCGAATTTAGCAACTTTCGCAGCGATCTGGACGCCATCAAGGGTCTGCTGTTAAACCGCAAACAGTTTGCGGGCCCGGTGGCCCCCCTTGCAGTGCCATCCATACCAGCCTGGCAGTTGGCCGGCTCTCCGCATCATCATCATCGGCACAGCGGATCGGACGATAATGAGAAGGGCGATGATGCTGGCTCCGGATCCGGATCATCGGAGACCGAGGTGGTCACCAAGAATAGCGACTCCAGTTTGGAGATAATGTAATGCAATCAGAATACGAGGCTGGCTATATAGATGTAGTATATAGTTAAGCTGCAGGACGTTTGTAAATTGAGTTTCCCCTTTATTGCCTTTAAGACTTTTTGGTTTTTTTGCTTTGCGTTTATAGCATTTAAGTTTTTTTATAGTCAACAGCTAATCCATATCCAAAAGTACATACACACACTCACATATACACACTTATGCGATACGATGTCTATATAATGTAATAATAAAAAATGTTTACATAATAACAGGTTTGAATTTAAAGAAACTGTTTAATAAGCGCAAAAATGCTTTTGTTTAGTTTTGTTTTATCGGTACATACGGGGATGGGGTAGCATATCGATTTAGATATTTAATTTCGACTTAGACGATAATTGGTTTCTAAAAATTTTGCCGAGTGCTACTTTCTATAAATTGGCTAAATTCCCTTTAGTTTGATTTAAGAATATGCTGAGCGGCGCTCCTCAATAAGTTTCATTTAAACTCCTTAAAGAGCCCACTCAGATCCTAAATGTTTTTTAATTTAATTATTTATTGTGCGGTGCGTAGTTATGATTTTGTTTTAATTACAAATTTGGTTCTCTGCGCTTTCCGTATTTCGCTCCATGTTCATTTAACTTTCTTTACTACTTACGTTAATTTTTATCGATTTGTACATACGATAATTTAGTATTCAAATTATTTTTTGACGAAATTTTCTTTTAAAGTATATATATCCTAGTAAGTTAATAGTCTCACAAAAGATTGTTAAGGGCTTCATAGTTTGTTTTAATGTGTTTTTATTTCATGTTTTGTTTTGTGAATGGAAAACCATTTCGGAACACCCTGAAACAAGGATAGAGAACCATACCCTACCCATACTAAGTATGCAAAATTAGAGTCTTTTGTGGGGTAGCTTGGCCCTTGTTTGTTGGGTATACATAAGATAAACAGCGGCCAGGCCGGGATTTATCAGCTATTTCAAATTAAATATAACATATTTACAATTAATTATATCTTGCGATTGGGGCAATACCAGCTGCCATAGGCCGAGCAATGTGTAAATTTGAATAATAAAACTTTGACAAAAAACTTTAAAGAATGTATACAGAGTATTGCAATATTAATATATTAACATAATATTTTCAGAATTTTAAAGCCATAAGTTTGCCCCAAACGGAATTAATTCCACTATGGGATTTGATCAATTCCGAGTGTGCCAAAATAAATCTTGAAAACAATGTGTAAACTTGAAAACTAAATTTTTTAAATAAATAACAAATCTATAAGAAAATATTGCGTTTTTGCGATTCCAATAAGTATAGAAACGGAATTGATAAAATTGTTCTTTGCTAAACAATTGAAAATCAGTATTCTTTCAGCATAGGTGGTTGATTAAAATATATGGGAATTAAACAACAAAATCGATTCCGCTTCCGCAAAATAAACCAAAAATCGGATTTGTCCGGTCGTGTGACATTAGCCCCAATTAGTTTGCTTCTTTCTCAAATATATCCCTAATTTATGCTAACAGAAAGTGCACAGATAGTGTGGACAAAATAGAACCATGTATGGATTGAAGGATCCTAAAAAGAATATATTCTAGACGGCTGAATTAATGACCGCTTGGGTGGAGGCGGAACTACCGATGCTGTTGGCCTGGCCAAATGCAGATCCGGCTCCAGCCGTCGATGTGCTCGCCGTGGCCGTAATGCTCACCGCTGCCGCTGTGGCAGATGTTCCTCCATCAGGATAGCCTCCCGAGGCCGGCGCCGGTGAAAGGGACATCGTCGATGACGAAGGCGAGGAGCAATCGCTTTGCACACTCATCGTGGGCGAGGCGGCCACCAGATTGCTGCTGCTGCTCGTGTTGCTGATGGTCAGCGGAAACTGTGGCGGCGGATTCCCGGTGGGCGTGTGCGGCGACAATGGCGACATCGAGGATAAAGTTGCGGACGCGGATGGACTGCTGCTGGCGCTCGTTGTAATGGCTGCAGAGGAGCTGTTGCTGTTGACTCCACTGTTCGTACTGGAGATGGTTGTTGAAGCCGTTGATGCGGCCGACGGAGGCGTCGCTGGCGATTGCTGGCTGGAGTTCACGCCAGCTGCTGCCGCTGCTGCAGCTGCTCGTTCACGCTCCCGATCTCGTTGCGGACGGAAGGCCTCACGCAGCGCCTCAACGCGAATCTCGTTGGGTCCCCAGCGCGCATACCCGGCGCTATTTTGCAGCCACACCACCTGGGTGCCCTGCATGCACTTGATTAGCACATCCGATCTGCGAAGAAATTAAAATGAGTATATATTCATGGGAAACCCTTTTTGTGTCTCACTTTTGCAACATGTGCTGGTAGCCGTGCCTGTACTCATGGGCCATGCCCAGAACCACCATGGAGCGACGCTTGTACATGCTCTCGTCCAGCTTGGATATGCTCTTCCACTCCGGCAGAAACACAATGAAGCTGGATATAAATATAACAGGTTGAGTTGTAAAACCAAAACTATCTCAAAATAATATAATCGTAGCTGTTAATGACCAGACTGGAATTCTAATTTCTTACTAGGAAACATTAAAAATATATTTTCAATGACCATAAATAGTTAATTTTAAAATGGAAAATAAGAAGAGCCCAGTAATGTATCTACAATACACCTAAATTTAATGTTATATTTCTTTACTAACAACAAAAATATATAAATCAGTTTGTAACAGAATTAAATTACACTTTAAAGCAGATTAATAAAAAAGTACCTCCTCAGAAAATACAAACAAAAATTGGTCAAAAGAAACACAATTATAAAACAAGCAACAACAGTCGATAGCCCTCGAAGCTTCTACTACTTTACTAACAAGGTTTTGCAAACTATACTATCATTTAAAATAAATAATTTCAAATTTAAATTGATAGCCTTGAAAAAAGTTTATAATTAATGTGATCACAAAACTCTGACTGGTGCTAAAAAAATGCTCAAGGTCAAAAAACTAGGAAAAGCATTTAAATATATACATTAATTTTACCTCAGTGGTTCCATAGTGTCGGTGAGCAGTTTGTCGATGTGCAACAATGAGGCCTCGATCAGTTCCTCGCAATGGGGAGGATTCACTTGGAAAGACCCGGAAACGGGCTTAAAGTCCAGGAAGGGCCTGTAAGGTCAACAATAAGCGTTAGTTACATATAATTTAAGAGGATTCAATAGTTAACTAACCCCCTGGAACCGAAGTAGGCATCCGTGTCGGCGAACGCTGAGCAGTACTGACGGAAATAGGAATTGAATGGCGAGGCGAAGCACTCGAAGCTTACACCAAAATGCCGATGCAGGCACTCGAACACGGGCACCGGCAGCGCCGCCTGGGTGAGCTCCGCCTCCTGGGAGGAATTCAGGGCATTGCCCAGGAAGGTCTGATACCTTTTGAGCAGACACCATACCCGGCCGATGAACAGATCGAACTTCTTGTCATCGAAACAGTTGTGCCTGTACAGCTGCTCCAGCTTCTGCAGATAGGTAAGGTTGATGTACTGCGCATCCGGTTGATTGATCGTGGCGGGCGTGTACTTGATAATCATGTGGTCGCGATCCTGCAAGTACTCGATCGTCGGCATCCGTGGCGATGGGACGGCAAACTGTATGGGATAGCACCACACTTTCTTTAGATGCGGCGGTGGCGGCGGAGGCGTTGGTTCGGGAATTCCATGCTCCTTCAGAAGCTGCAAATGACGCTCCCGGATCTTGCGGGCATGATCGGCCGACAAATGATAGATCTTAACACACAGAGTTTCAACGGAACTCTTGACGGTTTCCACCAAATGGGGCTCACACTGGCGCTTTAAATGGGCTAGACGATCCTGAAAATCCTCGTAGCTGGCGCCCACAGTCCGTCTTAGCCACTGGAACGTGTCCTCCACATTCCACTTGACCACCTTCTTGGATTCAGCCGGCGCCGATCGGGATTCGATAATCTGCTTGGCTGCCTCTGCATAGCGGGAAAGCTGCTTCCTGGCATCCCCCGTGAACTTGGGTTTGACAATCTTGATGGGTATATCCGACATTATCTCGCGGTACATGGAGCTGGAGATCTCCGGCAGGCAGCTGCTGGGCAGCAGCGGATCGCAACCGGTGTCTATTACCTTGCGTTCCATTAGCCAGCGATTGAAGGAATCTCTTGGTGCCTTTATATTCTCCCTCCGCATGCACAGATCCTCGTAGGTTTTCAGTAACTTCATGCTAAAGGCCGCCCGGAGAGCCTCGACTTCGGGATGCGGTTGCGGCAGAAGAGTCGGAGGCCGCTCCACAATTACCGCGTTTGTGCACACCTCCAGATCCCACGGTCCTGCAAGGACAAACTTCTTCATAGGCGGCCCACCGCCAACATGATGCTGCTGATTGGGATGAATGTGCATGTCATCCGAGGGTCTACGCTTCAGGTGATGATGGTGATGCTGATGCTGTTGCTGCTGGTGCATATTTGGGGTCATGGGCGTAGGACCGCCCGCATGACAGATACCCAAGGGATCGGTGAGCGGATCAAAAGGCCTGGTGCCGGGCATCTCCCACAACGATTCGCCGGTGACCTTGTTCCAGTAGTATGGACGGTTCTCCCGCTTAGACCAGAACTTGCGCCATCCTTGGTTCACCAGCTCAGCGGTGAGCTCTTCGCCATAACCACCAGGTCCCAGAGTTGGAGGACCCTGTGGCGTATGGGCCATGCTCTCCAGCGGCGAAGGAGCATGTGACTTTGTGGGCGTTGATGGGGAGGAGCAGCTGGCCACCGGAGAACTACCTGCCCCACTGCCCGTATTATCTGGTAATATGGGTCCAGTGACCGTGGGAGCTCCTGCTGTCGGTGAAGGTGACATGTTGTTGGAGGCACTCGCCGTCAGCTGATCCCAAGCACTCTGCGCGGCGGAGGAGGCGGACGAGGATGAGGAGGCCATTGGCGCCTGCGAGGGTCCCATTCCCGGAGTTCCCGTCGACGCAATCACAGAGGAGGGCATAACCCCCGCCCCCGTGCCGACTACCAGGTTGTGTATATTGCTATTGTTGTTAGCTGCCATGCTGCGGGAATATTTCTGCAAGAGCGAAGTAAACAAAAACAAATGTTTACAATTGGAGAGGAATGAAGAGCGAGAGAAGAACGGCTGATTTGTATGAAAAGGGGAGGGGAATATGAGCGGGATGGCGAGAAGAAATAAACATTGATTTTGTTCAGTGATGACAAATTCGGATTTTTCAACTAGCCAAAATTTTTTTGGCACTTTATTTTATTCTTATTTTTTAAACCAATTTATAGCATTATGTCAGACAAGTAAGTGATTATTAGGGGTCTCTTTAGACTAAACTGGAGGAATTAAATACATTTTTGGTATGATCAAGAAAAAAATTACCGATTTCAGACGGCCAACAAAAACATTATTTATAAAATTTTTCATTCCAAAAAAACAATTTTTTAATTAAAAACTATTATTGGGAAACAACGGTTTATATATTATTCTGAAAGTGTGAAATTAAAATCCAGTTCTAGCGACAAAAAAGCCAAATAAGCGTTGCTATCGCAGCAGATAGCAAGTGAGCGCGCTTCGGAATCGAAGAAACCACCACCAGAGAGCTATAACTGCCGTTAGTCGGCAACAGACACTCAACGGAGCGAGATCGGGGGCGCGCTAGAGTCGTTAGAAATAATGCGTGGGGATTGTGGGTGGACTAGCAAAATTTAATATTTTTATAAAATCTGGATATCCAAAAAACAGAAGAGACACCTTGCCCATAACAACGTTCAAATTTGCCGCCCACAGATTTAAAACTACAAAAAGAGAGGCGGCGCGCATGGGCGAGAGAGCCCAAGAGGGCGAATAAACGCGCTCTCTCACGAATGAGAAATCAAAACAAATTGCAAAAGAATAGAGATTTTCTGCCTGGGTTATGTGTATATGTTTTGACGAGCGTGTACCAAGCGTATGCGCACCGCCACAAACAGAATAAAAAATATACAAAATTATTTGCTGCACTCGACACACACACACTCGGTGGCTCATACACACACACCCGCACAAAGTGCAGGCATATTATGCACGCCATATAAACAATTGCGAAAAAAATTACACTTGGTTTCGTGGCCCCGACGGCTACGTCATAGCACTAAAATAATGGCGCGCTTTTTAATGCACCCGAAAAATCGCTAAAAATTAAAGAAAAAAACATAATCCATTGGGGAATTCGCAACAAGCGAATACTTAATTCGATGAAAGGGGAGAGGGACTGCGCTGGATAAATAAACAACATTCTGAGTGCAACGAAAATTTCTCTACACTTTCTTTTTTGCACCCACCGAGGCACAGGCACATCAATATTTTCCATTTTATATACGCCTGCTGCCTGGCATCGTGTGGTCGTACTGGTCGAAATGCCCTGAAACGCCACAAAACTCACCTAGTTTCAACTATCCTAGTCTGATAAGCACGCGCTACGTGTTTGCAAACATTTAGGCGTGCTCTGGACGTAAATATTCCCGCGATTTTCTATGAAAATGTATAAATAAGTTCTTCTCAAATTCTTTTTCAGCGACGAAACTCGGGGCAGTCGAATCGAGATGGCATTTCGGCGATAAGCAGCGCAGTATCGATTGCCCGCTCTTTTCCGCCCTATCGCTTGCCTTGGCGCGATTAATCGTTGCCAAAAGTTAATCGGTTTTTTTTACGAATTACGAGATTAATTACTAAAATTTACTAATTACTAAAATTTTAAATACTTAAAATTTGGTTTCTGGATTACAAATTTATCAATTTAAAAAGAATATCACAAGCAGGTAAATAATTTGCAAAGCATTGACAAGTCTAAGATTTTGAGATTTAATTTCATAAAATGTTGCACAAGGATCCAAAACCTTTTCAACTTTAAGCCTCAAATGTTAATTGTGCTGAAGAAGGTATTAAATTCGGTTAGAACATCCCATGAATGTTTTAAATGCGTCCTATTCAAAAATAATTTGTTTTTGTAATCAAATATTTAATCCTTTAAATTGAAATATTGTTGTGAGTGTTTGGAATGTTTAACAATAATTTATTTTTAATTTATCGTCTGCAGTTTCAGACAAATTTCTGTGCTTATGTTGAGATCTGGTTTGTATCGGTTAATTAGCCGCAGCAGGTTAAACTTTTTAGCTTTGGAGTTATTTGATTCCAATTCATATAATGTCGAGAGATTGACCAGCAAACTCTCGTTAAGGGATTTCTGGGGATTCAGGTTAATAGCGCGTTCGTACAGGTTTATAGCATCCTTGAGCTTTCCGGCGTACAGAAGGCACACTCCCATGTTGTTTAGGATCATTGTATTGCCGGTATCCAAGTGCAGAGCCTTCTGGAATATCACATAAGCCTCGGGGAAGTCATTTTTTGCCACAGCTATTAGCCCTTTGTCCACTAGGTCTCTTAGATCTGGCGAGGAGTTTCTAAATTTGAGTGAATTAAAATGGAATCGAGATTTCCATGGTATGATTGTTGAAAACTTACATTTCCCTCAATCTCCTTGAGACGGCAAATTTCTGTTCTGCTCCAAAAATATCACCGATTTGGAGATAAATGCGCCCCCAGGCGGAATACAAGAACCTCTGCTCCTCCTTGCTCAGGCTGCCGCGCTTCAGAAGGGTTCCTTCCATTATATCGTCAATCATACTGAATTTCTTCATCTACAAAAAGGAAGTTAATAAAAAAATTCATTTTTTTAGGACTTATAAACATACCATTAATCCACAGTTAATGATCGAGTGTAGAACTCTTTCGCATCTCCTTTGCCAAAACTCCTCGGCCGTTTTGTTTCGCAGATTAATATAGTGCTCCTTTATCTCCCGACTGGTCACATGGAGTTCTGAAAGTCTGTCCAGGGCAATGTGCGGTGTGCCCAAGTAAATTGGCAGCTCTGCGAGCAAAAGTCGGAACGAAAAGCAGGCTATGGATCCGCTCTTGCCGTTGTACATCTCCGGATAGAAGTCGTAGAAGACATCCGGACTGCTGAGCTGTCCAAAAGGTTCTGCCTCGGCACTCAATAGCTCGAACTCGCCTAGTTTTGCAAGGAGAGCTAGTCGGGTGAACCACAGTTGCAGGGAGTGCGGCGAATGCTTGGCCGGCTGGCCAGATCTTCCATATCCCTGGCCATAAATGGTCAGGAGGCGGCCAGTTAAGTTCACAGCCGTACGATAGCAACTGGCATGGATTAAGTTTCTCAATCCTCGCTCATCCTGTGTGACATCATCGACGCGGAGGATTTTACGATAAGACAACTCGGCTTCTCCCAGGTGCTGGGCGACTGCTACGCTGATAGGATCGGCCTGAAATAATGTACAAGTTATAGTATACTCTATGTAAAGTCTCCTCTCTAAAGTTCCTTTTGAGTTTCGTTAGCCTGAAAGGGATTGATAGAGTAATTACCAAGTCATTTTGCAGGTGAATTCCGGGCATTATCAGTTTGCCCGACTCGCTTTCCCTAGGCAACTCCCACAGATTTCGCACGTCGTCGCTGACTTTTATGGAGTCCTCCGCCGCCTCTGGTGTCTCAACATACTCAGGTGGCTGGAAAAATCCGGTGAAGGTGTTGGACATCATGTTGCTGCTGGAACTGGTATTATTGCTGCCTGTGGAAATGCCTTCTGCTGGCGAGTCCTTGGACTTGGGCTTATTGGCCAGCTCATCGAAAAAACTGGGCGGATCGTTCGCAAAATATTCGCTTATTTTATTTGACATGTCTTTTGATGAATGTTTTTCGATAACTTATTGAAGATGGCACTATCGTCGCTGCTAAAGCAAACACTATCGGCTATGACTGGCGCGAATAAATTACATGTTTAAAATCAGTATTGTAAGTAAAATAGTGAAAAAATTAATACAAATTTCACTGATATCACCGCAGAAATTTTTTTCTTTTTGGATTTACTCAAAGGTATTGGAACTCCGCCATAAAATAAAATTCATTCCACTACAATGATTCGTTGGTTATTTCGGCCAAAAAAATTTCTATTTTCATTAATTTTTTCACGCGATACGGTTAATGTCAGATTAATTATTTTATAAGCATATTAAAGTACAAAATTTAAACTACGTTTTCACAAATTTTCATAAAAAAAAAAATAAATGAGCCGTTCGCAGCAAAGCTCCGTAGGCGCCTCCAAGAAAAAAGGTTTTGCGGTGAACAGCATAACTCGTTACTGGATCATCAGAAAAAACCAAAAAAAAAATTGTTTATTAGTTAATATGTTTCTAGAGGTAACTACGTTGAGTTTTTTTTTATTCAATTTTTAGATTTTTGTTAACACTTTAAAGACAAAAACGTGATTTTTAGCCTAAAAATTCGATATATTTGTTATTATAAAATGAAAAATAATCAGTAAAAAAAACTCGACGTCATTACCTGCGGATTTAGGTACAGAAATTGTGTGCAAAATTTTAAAACGATTCGTTTAGTAGATTTTGCAGGATCGTGTTCACCGACTTTGAAATGGCAAATTTTCAGGAGAGCGTTTTTAAAGTTTTGGACACTGAAAAATCGCTAACTCTCCTACTTTCAACTGCCCATAACTTCGGAAGTTTTAGTCGGATGAATCTAAAAATTAAAAAAAGTGCCAAACAAAAATGTAAATACCATACCCTCCCTTAAGTAAGATTGACCGCCATATCCTCTCAACAAAACATTTTGTCTTTGTCAAAAGATTTTTCACTTTCCTTGCCGCTAACTAAGTAGATGTTTCTGAAATTTACCCATACTTCGCAATTAAAACTGGAATATTGGCTGCATATATGTATGTTCATGGAAACGAAGTGCTCGTCAATATATTTAAACTTTTTTTCAGCGCTCTCTATCTATACAGGCAAAGCCAATCCAAAAAATTAACTCTGTGCACCTCTTTTCCGTCCGGTACTCAGAAATTCAAAATGGCAAATTCAAAACAAAGAATAGCTGTTCGGAGTTAGCCTATTGTGGACCGAATAGGAAACATAAAGCAGTGTGAGGAGTACTTAAAGGTTTTTGAATTGCTGAAATGTGTTAAATTATGTATGGAGCAGCTGGCAAACAGTTCTGTAGGGAATACCCTAAATGACATTGTTTTAATGGCATCTTTGGAAAAAGGGGTCACACTTAAATTTCCTATCGGTTGGTAAAGTTTGATTTTTGGGTTTCCCATCTTTATTTTATTCGCGCGAATAGCTTTCTCATAAAAAAAGCGTCTTCTTTAAATATCCAAAAGCCGTTATGTCGAACTCAAAGATCCGTAAGTGTAAAAACTTTTATACTTGAATTAAGCAACTAATTATGTACTTAACACTAGCAGAAAAGTTAAGTATTGACCGATCTCTATACGCGACGAAATTTATCCATTCAGACATCAAGAAAATGCTCAACTATGTAAAGCGGAAGAAGGGACAACCGGTACATGGATCTTATTCCCTATTCGAAAATTATATATGAATTTAAGATATATATATATTATTTTTAAGATGCCCTCCGCCAAAAAGTATTACGAAACCATGTTGCAGGAAACGGGAATCGAAGGAATTTGGCAGAATTTGAGGTTCCAACTGCAGTTTTTAAAAATGACGCTTTCAAGAGCAAATTCTTGGATGGACACTGTTGACTTTACGATTAATGATAAGAAAGATGTAATAGGTAAGTAAACTTTTAATCATTTCCTACGTACATAATTCCCAGGTGAAAATGTAGAAAAGTGTTCAGTGGGCAGATTAAGTTCAATAAGTTTTTAAGACATATAATATTATTGTCCGTAATACTTGCAATAGAAATAACTTTTGTGAACATTTTATCCATATAATCTTTAAGACTGAGGGACAAGTTAGCGCAGAAACGGACCGCAGACAAAAATTATTAGATTAACACTTCTGGTGATGCTGATCAAAAATATATAAATCCTAAAGGCTCTCCTTACTGCGTTGTCAACTTCTAAAAAAAAAATTATAAAAGGGGCCTATTTTTATATTTCGTTTATAAAATGGGAATGCTTTTGTAATGTAATATAATTTGCTTGAAAATTATTGAAAAATTCTATTCAGTAGATTTTAAACCTGTATCTTTACCGAATTAAAAAATCAATTTAGAGTTTTTATACTGGAACAGTTTAATGGACTGGACACTTGAAATGGTGTAACTAGGTAGGTTAAGTTAATTAAAACAAACATTTTTTAAAACGTTGCTCTCCTTAAATTATATTTAAATTGGATGATTGTAATTGTTTTCAAAAACAGTGACAAATGTTAAAAAAATTGATTTTTCAGACTACGCGCGTTGTTCTTATTGCCCACACTATGATCAGCTAGTGGAAATATTTGGTTCCGACTTTCATTTAGATGTTTGGAATGAACATAGCAACACTAGCTGTTCCTCTTCCAATAAAAATGAAGAGTCAATTGAAACTGCAAACTCAAAGAATCAAGCTGGTCCGTCTAAACCAAAAGCCTCAAGGAAGGAAAACTTTCTTAAAGCAGATAAATGGCAAATCGAGAATGATTACCATCAAATGGCGAAAGAGAAGAAGAAAAAAGAAATTGAGAAAAAGAAAGTTGAAAATGAATTAATTTTGAGAAAATTGGAATTGGAAGAAAAGGAAAGAATTGCTTTGTACGAGATCAAAATGAAATACAACTAAGACTAACGTACAAATTCATATTTAACACTCTTTAGTAATTAATTTTTTTTCGGAAAAAGGAATTCGATTTTGTGTTCAAAATTCGTGTTCTTCCTTGAATTTTACTTTACTGAAATTGTTCAGGAGGTTTTATCATTTAAAACTCCAATATTAATCTATGATTACCATTTTCTTTAAAGTCTAAACTATTTAATATTGATTATCTCAGAAAAGAATCTGTCACTTCAAACAAATATTGTGTTAACTAGTTTTTAACTAGATTTTAAATCACATGTATCACATGCATAATAATAAAACTAGCATAAACTTAGTAATTCGAATTTATTGATCTACTACCATTTGTTTATTATTATTGTACAATACATAAAGCAAACATTAATTTATTCTAAAGCTAACGAAGATGTGTCATTAGATGACCAGTTATCCATTTGTTTTTGTCCTAACATAAAAACGCATTACGCTTTATTTACACAAAAAAACAGCCCCGCATGGATCGAAGTTTATTGCCCATTGAAAATCGTTTCGGGATAATAGCTTGGAGCATTGAACATGCGCGGGAAGCCATTTCCATCCAATTGGCCCACAGGCAGCACCGACATAATATCACTGCAATGAAAGAAATAACAATGGGAATTAAATTTAGACTAGCAGTTTTTAATAACTCCCTAGCTAATTTCTAGTTTTTTTTATTGAAACTTGAACATCAAACAATTTGGCATATTGCACATTTCTGGTATGAGTTAGGAATTTATTGTTTTAAATTTTTGTTTGGTACTTTATTTTAATATAAGCATTTGGTATGGCAATTTCCGTTCATTCATACTAGTTGTTTAATCACATCGAAAAGGTAGTTTAAACCAAAACGTTGGTATTTTAGCTTCGGATATTCGACCCAATGTTTTAAAATATAATATATATATTTGAATTGTGTCAAAATTTAAATGTTGTATACATTAAAGCTTATCACAAAATATTGAATTTTCTTTGGCTCTTACTTCATATTTTACAACTTCTTTATTTTATTGTAACAAATTACTGTTATTGTTTCTAAATGCCAAAAAGTTCATAAAATAAATACTCTATGTATTTAAAAATAAAAAATAATCTTTCTCATAAAAATAAATTCTTTATATTTTTACCCAATTCCAACTGAAGTCAAATGAAATATCAAAAGTTATGTTTAATTAAATTTTTGAAACTGGAGACCTCCCTCGTTTAAAATTCATATGTGAGCGGAAAATGGCCTTGTTATGGAAGTGAGACTGTATTTATATTTTTAACAGCTAAAAAGAACACATTTACTCCACTTGTGAGTTCGAGTGTGGTATGTGGTGTGCTGCAATTTGACGCCCGTGGAGAGGCGATGCGATCGAACAGCGGGACTCGGGGTGCGACGAAGGGCACATGCTACACGCATGCGCTGCGTTAGGAGCCGGGCACGTCCCGAGTCCCTTGGCTCTATAAATATGCAGAGGACCGTGCAAGGAGCCGGCCGAAATTGGACATAAAACACGCTCAAGTGGGCGGACTGGACGCACAAGTGTTTTACGGTCACTTACAAACGATTTTTAATGCCAATTCCAAAACAATTGATTATATTCGTTCGGATTTCGGAGTTTGTTCTAGGGCGAACTCGGCTCAAGTGTTGAATGAATTGTTTTACGAGTTATGAGGAAATGGAAACTGGCATGTCGGGGTTACCAAACGACGTTTGCATGCTGGAGTTCACGGAAATATTAAGAAAATCTAACTGCACTTAAACAGGAAATATGTAACTCTGGATATGTAACCCTGTAAATAAAATACTTTTTGTACTCACTAAACTTAATGTAAGATTTTAAATTCAATAACTCGCTAAACTTAATGTGAATGTAAACGTAAACTAAGCACTTTTTTTCAGAAGTTTTGGACTGCATTTTCTCATTAGGTAAATTTCTATTAACAAAAGATACTATAGAAAGCTGTTGAACCTAAAAAAAAGGTCCTAAAGCAAAGTGGTTTTAAACGCTTTATATTCAATTTCACGGAGAGAAATTTATATGATTTTTACATAACCTAAAAGCTTTGAAATTATGTTGTGTTATGGTGTGTATAATTCCTCGTTTCTTTTTCCTGTCTAGTATTAAGACAACAATTGAATTTTTAAATCATAGTCAAAACAAGAGAGAACGCTATAGTCGGGTGCCCCGACTATCAGATACCCGTTACTCAGGTAAAGGGAGTGCGAGGGAGATGGAGATAGAAATTTTGATCACGCATAACTTTTTAACGAATGGTCCGATTTGAAAAATTTCTTCTACATTTCGATAGGTATTGATAAACACAAAAAAACTGCATTTTTACTTTTCCGAAATATTTAAATTTTTAAAATCGTATATAAGCGATTGTGGGCGTTAAAGGGGGCGTGTCACCTTTTTGAAACAAACTTGCGCTGCGTAGGAACTCCTAGAATCTGCATGCAAAATGCCAATCTTCTAGCTTTTATAGTTTCCGAGATCTCAGCGTTCATACGGACAGACAGACAGACGGACAGACGGACATGGCTAGATCGACTCGGCTAGTGACCCTGATCAAGAATATATATACTTTATAGGGTCGGAAACGCTTCCTTCTAGCTGTTACATACTTTTGCACGAATACAATATACCCTTTTACTCTACGAGTAACGGGTATAAATACTATTTCGTTTAGTGGATACTTAGGTATAGGTGCGATTTCTATTCCCGTTCTGTGACTGGGTCAACTTACGGTCTCTGCTGGGGCGTGCGATCCCGCTGGCGGCGGTTCTTGAACCAGTTGGAGACCTGGGTGAGCGTCAGGCCGGTCTTCTTGGCCAGCGTCTTCTTCTCGTCGGGCGTGGGATAGCGATTGGTGAGATAGCAGTCCTTGAGCGCGTTCCGCGACTTCTCCTTGAAGCAGTAGACCGTCTCCTCGCCATCCCAGATCGTCTTGGGCAGGGGGTACTTTTTCCGCAGGCGGTACTTGTCCACCGCTCCGAGTGGACGACCGCGCACCTTCTCGGCCTCCTTGTAGTGGGCCTTGAACCAGAGGTTCTGCAGATCCACGTGGTATTTGATCGAGAAGCAGTGCGTCTCCAGCAGGTTGTACAGCTCGTGGAACTGGCCCAGGTTGTAGGCCACCATGGCACGGGCCCGCAGGACACTCTCGTTGGTCTTGAAGAATTCGCTGGGTGGCAGGCTGCAGAGGAACGTGGTCAGCTTCTCGATGTCGCCCTTCTGCTGCAGGGCCTCGCACATGCACTGGATCTGGAGATATCATAACAGTTATAGCAGGTTTTTAATTTATTTTTATTTCAAATGTTTTAATATTTTTAAATCCAAAAATCTAGGATAAATTATCAATGAATCTCTTACCTGATCCGTGGAGAACTGCAGCATTTTGGCGTCGATGGGAAAGCTGCCCACAGCGGACATATTGTGGGCGGACGTGAGATTGGAGATGAGGTGACCACCGTTCCCAGGATTACCACCCAATCCACCGCCACTCCTCTGCAAGCCGCATAGGGAATCCGTCTTCGTGTTCCCATTGAGATCCCCCAGATTGCCCCCACTGCCATTCTCGAATATAATGCTATTCAAACTGGGATAGTGGGTGGGCGTGGTCGAGGCGGTGGGCGGCGGTGACTTATCATAGTCGTTGGTAATGTCCTGGAAGCGTCGCTCCAGCAGGTGATCCTTTTCCGCCCCCTCATAGGGTGCAAATTTATCTAATTGGAGTACTGTTTTGCACGAGAGGTTTCCTCGATAACCTGAAGATTGAAGATAATTAATATTAAGAGACAGTAAAAGCAAAATAAAAGAATGTAGATGAATATTTTATTTGAACGTTTTAAAAGTGCTTAGATCTTTTTATAAATGGCTATATAAGTTTATGGTTTTGATGCCATTCAAAATCTTCTTATTTAAAACTTTGCAATTTAAAAAATATATTTGTTTTATTTTTGTTAAATATAATTAAATTAAAACTTTGGAGTAGATACTGTATCTCAGTTAATCAATTATTACAATTTCTACGAGCTCTAAAAGATTACTAGGAGATTTTCAAAGCAACTGTCTTCAGAATTTACTACGCTTATCTGACACCCAAAATTAGTTATATGTCGTTCTTTCTCACGTGCCATTTCGGTGGTCAATGAAAGGCCCCACCTTCCCCCAGGGGACCCCCAATTTAGAATGTGACTAATCGAATACCCGACATCACCGAAGCGATCGCTGTCTTTCGACACCTCAGACGCGGACTGTGGATCATATTGAGGCCCAAAAGAGACATCAACCAAATAAATAAATAAATGCGATATGCTTACATACATGTGCACAAGTAAATGTGTGTGGATATGCAGTTGTGAATATGTAAATGTTATAAAACATAATTCATTTGATGGTGCATTGCTTGGGGTCTACAAAACAAAATGGCAAACTGTGGGTGCCCTTTCTTTAGATAGGTATAAATTTAATTTCTTAGAAAACTAATTAAAGAGTTTACATGTTATATGTTTTATTTTAATGCTAACTATAGAACATATTTTTCTAAAATAAAATTCTAAACATACGTTAAAAGAAAAACAAATAGTTGTAAAATTAAATATTAAAAGGGGTTGTTTTTATAAGAAAGCTGTTTATAATAAGAAACTAATTTTTAGAATCTTAAACAAAAATGGTTCCCTTTATATGAAAAATAGTTTCCGATATTAATTAAAAGCTTACTGACTTATAGATAAAATAGACTCGATAATTTATATTAAATAAAACATATTCTATAACTTGCAGCATCAACTAATCCACTTTAAATTAAAAAAATTGCTTTGTATTTTATGCAATGGGTAAAAAAATGCACAACCCCATCCTACACCCTATACATGCAGTCCTCAAAAATGTGTGCTCCTCAGCAGAATAATAGTCCCAGGCTTTAATTGTTTATGCAGCGCCTCATTGACGCCTCTGTCCCGAAACGCGATACGTCGTTCTTGTCTTTAGACAATTTGCACCGATAAGGCTAGACCTAGTTGGATCCGATTTGGGTATATGTATATGTCTAGGGATCTGGTGGCACTCACCAGCGTTTGGAAGGAAGAGTGATCCGTAGGCCATCGGCGAACTAAGGTTGTCCTGTTGGACAGCCGAGTGATCCGAGGAAGTGCCGCCGGAACTTGTGGAGTCCAAGTCCCCGCTGATGGACACCGATAAATTATTGGCATCCATGTTCTTGTCAAACATAATTCTGCTATTTTTCTGAACAAAGTTCAGTTTGCGTTTGAGTTGTTATAAAATGCAATTTATGAAAGCTTTTTGGTGGTTTACCAATTTTCTGAATTTCAATTCATGATTTTAACTAATTTTTTGAATTAGTTATTCTTATTTTGTTAATTAGTATTTTGAAACGAATACTATATGTTTTGGCACTTGGATGTTTAAGTTTTTCGATTTTTTCACAAAGTAACTTGATATTTTATCACATCAATTTATTTTTAAAACACCGAGAAATCTAAATTTTTCTTAAAAAGATTTCCAATTGACTTTAGGGTCTAATGTTAAATCCCTTAATTTAAGAATTAAGTTAATTATTCGTTATTTTGAATTTTGTTGAATTTTATAACTATTTGTTATGGATAATTATCAATATATTATTTTGTATTGATATCCTCTTATTTTAAAATTTCTTTGCACACAAATCAATCTTTTTTTTTGATCTCCCAGGAACTTTTAATTATTTTATTTATTAATATATATTTCGGGACCGGTTTTTCCTTGTGACTTGACGCGACCGCGCTTCAATCTCGACTGCAAACTATGGAAAAGTGCACTCCAAGGGTGGGTTCCGTTCCATTCCGTTTCGTTTTCGCCTGTGGAACGTTTGGTTGGTTGGAAAGGCCACCGTTAACTGGTTGCAATCTGGCCAATTTAGGGGTGGTTCCGTTTCCGTTTTTGCCCTTAGGAGCGGTGGGCGTGACTCTTCGCAGCCATTTTGTCCCGTTATCTCCTGGTTGTGATAACTTTTTTGCATGGCTGTCTCTTTTTTATCTAGGGGCTGAATAGGGTCTTGGATTTGGAAACATCATGACCTCATTAGCGTTTTTGAGGGTGTCTAATGAATGCCCGTGTGCTGTTTCTTAGAATTTACATCGGATTTCTGTGACATTGCTTAATTTGGCGAGCTGTTCAAAAGTGTTCTTTAGACAGTCAAGCTTCTCTACTCTAACATGCAAATATATCAACTATTTATTTATTGAAACCGCATAAGATAGATTTATTTATTTTTTTAATGTATTAAAATTCAATTTTTTGAAAATGTACAAAAATGACTTAACTAAAAATATTGAAGTTCTATTTTCTTTGATTTTAATATAATTTTATATTAAGCGAAAAAGATAATATTATTTTAAACTTTATATAAAAATCGTGGTTGTTGATATTTATCTAACACAATGATTTCATTATTTTTTTTTTGCTAAATGAAACAATTTGTTTATTCATTTCTTGAAGAAAAATTCATAAATCATTTACATATTAAAATGTTTTTTTTTGTCAATCAATTAAATATTTTTATTCACAAAAGTCAGGAACTCCGGTTAATAATGATAAAATATCAAGCTAAATATGAATTATTTATTGAATCGACTTAGAGATTCATATGTACATGTATGAAATAGGTATAAAAGTCAGACTCGGTGCAATTTGACGCTCGACTGAGGCTGGGATTGGGAAAATTCCTTCTGCTGCTCATCTAATGGGATCAAATTTCAATTACAAAACGCTCCTCTCGACTGCTGCATTCAACGCGCAATGGTGTGATGGAATAAAATGAAATAAAAGTGACATGACAAAGGTGACAATCCACAAAAAGGCCAAACAATTGCGTTGCCCCAGGAACAGGAACAGAAACAGGAGCACTCCTCGGATTCTGTTTGTTGTCGAAGGGAATTCATTAAGCATCAAATTGGGAGGGTTGACGATTTCGTCACACTCGCAAATCCCCTCGACGCAGTCCCAAAAACCCAGATTTGTCACAGCCAAACATCATCAGCACCCCGAACATTATTACAACTTTATATCCCCTCTGTTTCCATCATGGGATCGCACTGAGTCACAGGTGCAAAGGTGAGTCGGATTAGGGCCACTTACTTGAGGTTTGTTCAATTTTATTATTTCCTGCACTTACCAGATTATCTAAATCTAGAATCATTATCAAATCAGATTGAAACAACTGAAAATTTAGTCTCAAAAGATTTTTTAAAACACCAAAATCTAAGCTTTTTAATCATAATCATTTTATACATTTAAAAAAAAAATGTACTCTACGTATTTATTTGCATAGAATGTTGAGCAAAAAATATCTTTCGGTCATTGTATTTATATTGTTAATCATTTAGTATTTTGAGTTGATATTGACTTACTGCAGTAATTTAGATTCGATCTTAGAATTTCTTTGTAATAGATAAAATAAATAATAAATGCCTAGGTAGGATTTTTTTTATCATTTTAAAGTTAATTGAAATTTAAAAAATGTTGAAGTGAAGATTGACTGCGAAATAGCTTTTATATTTTTGACATTTTTTTAAACTAACTTTCATTTTTATTTAAAATTAATATAAGAATGCATAAAATTTAATATAACATAGTTTTTTTGTATTACTATCATTAAGCTTGTTTATTTTCAAATGACAAAGATAGGGTTGTGCAAAGGTGGCAAACTTTTCCCTGCACCCCCGCTGTTGCATGGCAACTCCCTTTTGCATAGGTGTGTCCTCTAATTGACCGCAGTGAAGGGATTGTAATCTCAGTCGAACTAATTCCATTATTCAAATCACGTGGCAGGACTTAGGGATCGCATGCAAGCTGCCAGGCCAAATCAAACGAAGCTTTATTTTGCGATTTTTTAGCTTCGTGCAAACGCGTCTTTTGGTTCCCACACTATAGTGTTTAGCTGATCCAAGCTGAATTTTTCCTCGGGCGTCTGGTGTCTGTTTCTTAAATAATGCAAGCGCATGAATGCAACTCGCATTAGACCATTTAAATACACTCCAAGTTGAAATGTAAATATAATAGAAAATATGAGATAAGGAGTATAAATATTGATATAAATTATTTCTTGTGAAATACATTATTTTGTTGATGGTAATTAGGAAATTTGAGTGCTTTATATCTTAATAAATTCATGTGAGGATAATATTATTGTAAAGATAAACACAATTTTTGTTTTGCATATTCAAACTTGATTGGAATTGCATGGGTTTATAATTATTTCATTTGCATTAAGCACAAAATGATTTACCAAGTATATATATTTATATATTATTATATATATTTATTTTAGATTATATTTAGATAAATTTAATATTCGCATTTTGGAAAATTTTTTTAAAACATTTTTGTTTTCTAAAGTAAAAATACCATTTCTAATTCAATTTTAAATTTTGTATTGTTCCTTTTTTCAAATTTTTTGCATAACTTCTTTATAAGCATTGTTCGTAATTTCAAGATATCTGAACATATCCCAATCTCCAGACTCTATAGCCAAAACTACTTCCTGGCTAATACTTTTTAAGTAGCTCTTCTCGCATTTCATCTTACTTCCAACTTTTTGCATCATCCAGAATTATAATACATCCTCAAATACCCAGAATTTTCAAGCACTTTGCGATAATCTCCAACTATTATTCAATTTTCCATACGAAAATCTGAAGAATACTTCTCAAATTGTTGTATTTACTTGTAACTTCTTGCATAACCATTTGTGGCTGGCCAGCCCATCGGTTTTCAATAGTTTTTCAATGGTTTTCCATTGTAGTACATTGTTTCCCTGTCGACGTTCAACAAATTGCTTAACTTCTCGCAAAATGGGACAGGACGCTCTGGGATTTTTAGCAAACGTCATCATCCCAGTAGGAGAAAAACCTGCCCGGTTAATCCCGAAATTCCAGTTTCAGGCCAGAAAATAGAGCAGCCCAGAAAACAGCTTACCATCCGTAATCCCGAAATTCCCAACAAAGCGTTTTGTAAGGTGTCACCTTGTCGCTGTTCTGTCTGCTCCCATTCATGAGGAGGATTCCCTTATCCGCCTGTCGATCACACAATAATGGGCCAACCGGGGATTATGTGTGGGAGAGTTTTGTCTGGCGATGCCAAATGATTTTCGCACCTTTAGCTCGAAAATGTTTTGGGCATTACGCGTAGCAAACAAAGGTATTTATAGAGACATCGCAAGACAATCCAATTAATAAGATTTAGAAACAAGAAAATTGGGACAAACATTGCGTACTTTTTAGCTTGCCTAAAAGGCGTTATTAGAACTGGTAATTATTTTTTTCGTCCTTGGATTTTATAGCAGTAGACAAATATGGTTTTCAAAAACAAATTTAATAAAAAATAATCTACAAAATATTAGTTACAAAATACCGATCCTATTTTACCCTTAATTGGCTTAAGATACATAAATATTTTTTATAGACATTAAATAACTGCTAAAAAAAAATAAATGTTTAATATAACAAACATTTTTGTTTTTTAACCAAAAAAATTATTTTTAAAATTATCATAACCACATCTCACATTTCGTTGAACGATTAGAAAACTGTGCCAGTAGCGCAATGAAAATATTTTCGTAGACATCGCGACACAATCCAATCAATCCTCTTCAGAATCTGAAAAACCAGGAAAAACTGTTCTATGTTCCCCTGCCACTTAGTAACGCAAATCAATCAATGCTTCGCGAGTTTCCTCCGTTAATTTCAAACATATGCCGGGATACTCGAACGCCCAAACAATTTCCACAGCTAATTGGGCGGGCTGAGTGCCTATGAGTCCAGTTCCCCATTCAGAACTCGGAAAGGGGTGCAATGAAAGACGATCCTTAGTTGGCAACCAGCTCATTATTCTCATTAATGAAAGCTCCGCCGGTGTTTCCTTTCTCCACTCAACTGATAAATAACAAAACTGCAACTTTTCCGCTTAATGCTCTCCAACTATTTGTATACGGCACGGTACCTGCGAAGATTTGAATATGATAATTGATTACAGTGTTTACCTTTTGAATGGGAATTCCATTGAAAAAAAACTTAACCGGAATGAAAACTAAATCCCTTGATAGCCATCATTTTTGTAGATCAGTTTTATTGATTTCTTTTTGCTAAATATAATGGGTAGCATTCCAAGGAAATTGTTTGGTCAGGAAATAAAGAAGATGAAGGGATGTTGATGAGATAAGATCGTCCATTCATTTACAACTTGGTTTTCAAATGGTACCCAAACTCCTTTGAAAGAATTATTAAGAACTATAAAAAGGTATGTATTTATTATTTTGGTACTCTTAAATACCTATTTTTTTTAAATTTTAATGTTTAACTTTATTACCAAAAATAAAATTAGAGAGACATTTATTTTTTAACACAACTAAAAAGTAGGTGTCTACTTAAAATCCAAATCAGAAAAAGAAGACTTTCGTTTTTTTTTAATTTCATGGAGCGATAAATAATTATTTTTAATTCAAAAGTTAACCTTATTACTTATTACAAAATTAAAATTTTAATGTTTAAGTTAATGAACAAAATTAAAAAAAGGAAAGACATTAATTTTCTAACACAACTAATCAGATACATATTTAAAATCCGAATCGGAAAAAAATTAAAAATTGCATAAGGCGATAGTAATTTTTTTATTAAAAAAACAAGAAAGGAAAGCTAACTTCGAGCGGAGCCGAAGTTGATATACCCTTGCAGAATACTCTATAATTATATTCTCCAAAATTATTCCTATGATGCATTCTT